CTGGTGCATTTCCCTATTATAGTGAGAAGGTACAAAAATTTTCCTCATCATGGACTTCATCTCCCTCCAGGTTAAAATAGGTTGATCTTCATCATGTCTCCTAAGAGCAGTCAATTCGTCCCACCATAGTAATACATAATTTGGGAACTCAACATCTATTAATTTTACCTTTTTTCTTCATTGTAGATGTGGTAGTCGAAGATGAGTTTTGCTTTCTTTTCTTATTCAAGGTAGGTCTCAACATCATTCCTTCCTCTAAATGGTGGTATTTATATCTTGATGGATTTGATGTCGCCATCTTATCTCCTATCACCCTCATTATCACCATAGGATTCAACATTTTTCTTAGTGGGCCGGTGTCTGTGTGAACTATTGTTCCTTCTCCAATCTCTTTCATCCATCCTCGCAGTTACGTCTTCAATTGCTAGACTTAGTTGGGTAAACATGTTCTCTATTCGTTCCTCCAGAGTTGCGAGTATATTTGTCTCATTTGGTTGAGAAATGATGATACATGCAAGAAAAATGTTATGGAAAAATACTCTCCTTAATAGTGCCTAAAAACGACATCATTATCACCAACTTTTGAGTTGTTAAACTTGATGATATGCTATCTAATCCAAGTTATTTCTTATATTTTTTTATAGGACAAGAGATAAGGACAATACGAGGAAAAACAACATGAAAAGAAGAAGAGTTTGTGAAAAGAGTTATCAGTCCATAAACAAGCCTTGGGTAAGGCTTGGTCCAATAGACAGACAACTTAGCCTTGGACAAGGCTAAGAGTTACACACAGTAACATATTTAAATTAAAACATGCACTTTTCAAATCTGAAAAAAGATATTATTCCAGCCAAGATTTGGGGCTAAAAATCAAAGAAAAAATAGGCCCTAGGGTTGTTTTATCGTAGGGACCAATGCAAGTTTGGCCGAATTCGGCCGAAAGGGGCCCTAGGTCTGATTTGAGATTTTTGGGAGACGTGCAGGTACTGGTAGTGCGTTTCATTTTTATGAAAAAAAATTTAGAAAAATTAAGGTTAGCCTGTAGGTGCACTGTAGAGCCGATTTCAGACCCCGAAACAAGTAAGAACCCCTCACCCTATTTCCTATCACAGTATTAAAGCTTAATAAATAATTAAACAGTATTTTGTGACTTTATAGATGTATAATTGATTAAGATTGCCAATGGAGCCCGAGTCTGATACATTATTGGTCAGTTATTGTTTGATCTATTTTTCAGTATTAAATGCAGTATGATGTTTGATGTAATTATTTTATGGTCTCGTATGCATGAATTATGGTTTCTTTTATTATGGTTTGTATTATGGTGAACCCGATATTGTATTGTCTTGTTTGGTGTCAATTACTGGTTTACATGTTTGTGTATGATTGGATGATTGAGACCAAGGAAAATGGCAAAAAGGTTATGTGAATTGATAAATGGATAATGTGGACAGCCTGACTAGATATCCTGAGAGATGGTGGACGAACCGGATCTGTAGGGAACCCTACCGGGAATGTGGTCTCTCATACCGGACGGGGTATAGAGACCTTATGTGTTTTGGCGCCCATACCGGACGGGGTATGGGGACGGCCCGTTTCACTCTCATACCGGACGGGGTATTAAGCCTTATGATTTTGGTGCCCATACCGAACGGGGTATGGGGACGGCCCTGGAATCAGGTTATTAATGTTAATGGTTCACGTGTAGCGGGGACCCCCTATGGATCCCCATGGATAGGCTGATAAAAGAGAAAATTTATTGTCTGATTATTGAAGTGCAAAAGTAGGACATGTGTTCTGTTATAAAGTGTATATGATTTTATAATGATTATCATGTTATTGCTTTCATAGGTTATTTTCATGAATCTCACCGAGATAAGTGGACAGTAAATGTTTTTATGTTAATAAATGAGTTTGTTATAAATTATGCTCCATTGGTCGTTTTTGTTTTCTACCGACCTTTACTTCTGTGGCAGTGAGATAGTGTGATGTCTTTACTGGGCTAGTGTAACTCATTCTTTACTTAACCATTTCATATCAGGAAGACGTGGTCCCCGAGCTCGTTCCGCAGGAAGACGACGAGTTAGACGCCTAAGGACTTTATAGCTCTATTTATAGTTTTTATTTCGAGTATCTCTTTTAATTAGGTTATTCTTTCATGTTTTGAGTACGTTTTTTGTTATTGTGTAAAGGATGTTAATCAAAATTTTTATTATGTTTTCGTATTTATGATTTTTAATACATACATCTCATTTAAAAATTCCGGAGCCGTTACAGTCTAGCTTCTTAAAACAGTTTCGCCTCCTATCCTAACTTTTCCTTTTTGAGACACGAAAGGAAGGTTATGCCATACGAAAAGGGACTAAACTAACTTATATTCCACTTACCTAAGGCTTTAGCCTAACCCTAAGGGGGCGAACATTAGTTGACACCCGACCACTTGGCTATTTATGTTGTGTCACGTAATCCAACTTATGTCGAGTTGTTTGCATTGATAAATCCCTTAAAACTCTACGTGGTTATAACATTCTTACGTTTTTTTATTATGATTTTAATAAGTTCTTTCACGTGGACTTAAGAGTTTTAGAATTACTGTACTAAAAAGCTTTCGGCTCTCTTACTCATGCTTCTTCTAAAAATATAGAGAAATAAATTCATAATTACAAATCCACCCTTGACAATATATTTCCTTATTTTTCACAATAAAAAATACATAAATATTAGGAGGGAAAATATAATTCTATTTATTCATTGTTTTTATTTGAAAATGATTTTTTTACAAATAAATAGGAAGTAACTTTGATCACTAAAATCAGTTTATAAATGATAATATCTTGCAAACTATTAAGATTCTAACTCTTTAGTTAATCCATTATATCAAGATCTGCGCTACCTACTAAATGAGGTCCATCTTCAAAACTCAGTGACCTCAAATATTAAAAGCTGTTAATTAACACATTTAGATAAACAAAAAAAAAAAAAAAAAATATTGGGAAATAGATACAAATAATACAAGAGAGAATAGAGTGGTTTCCTGTTTAATCCATGAGAGGTAATCAGTTGCATGAAAACCCACTTTTGTACTATAAAATAATGAATGCCTAATATTTCATAACAACAAAAGTTTGTTCTTAGTATTTTTTTTTTAAAAAAGAAAACATTCTAATTAACTTTAAAGAATGAATCATTATATATGTTTCTAAAATACTAATGATTATTATAGATTCCTTAATCATAATTAAGCATTCTGTACATATATATATATATGTATACATATCTCTAGTTAACTAATTGAAAAATGCAAAAGATGAAGTTTATTTTGTGATTTTCAAAGGAGAAACATATCTTTATGGTCTTAAGATTCGGTGCTTCATGTTTAATTTATATATTAATAAACTGATATTTTTTTTTATTAGTCTTTATTTATTTTTTATTTTTTCCCCTTCAAGGAATATGGGAAAGTTAAATTAATAGGTTTTAAAATTGGAATTCAATTATTTACAGAAGCTTTCGGAAAAGAAACAAAAGCCAAAAATCAACTATAGATTGATCAAAAGTATTAAGTGATATATTTTTCTTTTCTTAAGTTTAAGAAATTTAATTATTTTCATTATAATGCATAATCCTTACGGCATGAATCCGTTAGATAACTTTTTTTCTTTTCTCTAAAGTAAAAAGACATCTCGTTGATTCAAACCAAATGGAAAAAATTAAATAACATCCACAACCATTTCAAGCTGGCATGTTCAACATAAAAATATTAGACAAGGATTTTTTTTTTTTTTTTTCTTACTACAACTTTTCGGAAATATGATCTAGTACCACTTATTAGAAATTGCTTATAAAAGTAAATTTAAATGTAAGATACAAGGATGCAAAGAATTATATGTAACTAATGGGAGACAAAAATTTGAAGTATACATATAACAACTTGCATCTTCATCGGTTGTACTATAAGAAAAAAAAATATATATTTTATGAT